GCTTCCATGCTGACTGGCGCTTATTCATGTTTCCATACTGGTGCCTGGTACTCAAAGTGAAATCCAACATAGGAGTCTTTCAGTCTTTGTTTGAACTTTATTTAAAAATCTGAATTTTGAGGGAAAAGGTCCTCAGGGTGAAACAGTACATTATATTGTATATGATAGAGTATGAAGAAATTTCTGGCAATACTTGTTCATCCAAGATGCTATGTCTCCCTGTATTTATATCACTTTGTAACAGCTGGTCTAAGCGTGCAAGCTCATACAGTTACGCCCATGCAGAACCTCACCAACTGAAAAGCAAATGACAATGCATGTGCATAGGAAACTATTCACAAGACTGGGCCTTCATACAGTAAAGCACACTTAGTAAGATTATTAAAGTCCTATTCCTTCATGAACAGAATGAAGACTAAAATGTGTTCACAGAATCCCTGCAATGCCAGTAACACCAGACTGGCTGTATGGATACAGGACTTTTTAATAATCACTTACTAGTATCTAAGTTTTACTTCCTAATGAGCTGGAACACTGAATATTGATTTCTTTACTGCACAGACATATAATTCAGTTATTTTTGCTCTAGACTTGAGCAGCCGATGAACTGTATCAATTCTCAAAAATCTCTTTCTAAATTGAATTAAAAGATTTGAATCCAGAAAAGGCTTCTGATTTTTACTTCAGGCGACACTATACACATAAAACATGCATTAAAAAAATCCCCAGGCAAAAACTTCTCAAGCCAATACTGCAAAAAAAAAGTTACCAAAGGGAAAATAAACATGAAAAATATACATAGAAATCCCTAGCTATTCAAAGGAAAGACTTAAAGTAACAATGTAAACTTCAAACACCCTTAAGCTCTGCTCCAATAATGAATAAAAGTCCCATAGGGACCATGGGCTAAAGAAGCAAATTAGAGCAACTGCTAGTTTATTCTGACATCCGAGCTTGCAAATATTGGCTGATACTACTTCCTGCTCACATACCCATGAACTGTGCAGAACTTGGATGCAAGGAAGAGTCTAGCACTTTGTGTATTAAAATTTAATGACACATTTCTGGTACATCCTGTGGACCGGGGAACCATAAACCTCTATTGGATGATATTAAAAAGAGGATTTATGACTATTAAATTGATCCATGTTCTCCTTACTTTGTAAGGCTGCAGTTGTTTCTTAGCCACTCCGTTAAGCAAGGCAAATTGAATAGTAAACTGCAGTTCCTACCTTAGTGTTTCTGGCCTTGTAAACTACAGGTCACAAGTTCAAATCTTCATCTTACTTAAAAATGTGTCAGCAGCATCCATAGTTTCAAAATGTCAGGGCAGATTTCATGAATTTTACTGTGGCTTTTTAAGGCCCTGGACTAAACAATGGATGAGACTCCCTTTCATGCTTATTCTCGTATTCAAAATGGCCATTAAAGTCCTTGTTCAAAAATGATTAATTTTACGGGGCTGGCTCCTGTGTCTCAATTGTTGATCATGGTTTTATTTCTGAGAAAAACACCACTGGTCAAATTTATCCAGGAAGCTTGTCTGTTGACCTCCCTGGAGTTAGATGAAGGATGAATTTAGCTTTGGGAAGAAAAAGAATGACTCCAGAATAAAGAGGATGTTAACAATGGAAGCAAGGATACCACACCAGTTTCAATGCTAGCAAAACAGTTCTCACTAGAAGATAGAAAAAGAAATGAAATGTCTTTCACTTGTGCCACAAACTCTGTCTCTGAAAATAGATGTCAGGCTAGTTGTAACTCTGAAATTACACAAGAGAGTTCTTGCACTAGCATTTTTATTTGGGGAGAAGTTGGCTTTCACAGTGTTCAGTGTTCCAGATTATTACAAACTGGGGCGGTAATGTTGTCAGGACATGCTCTCATTTTATTATTATTTGAATTGTTAAAGTCTCCTTTAAATATTTCAAACCAGTTTAAAAGACTTATATTTTTATGCAAAACAATATAGATCTGAGCCCATATTAAAGAAGCCACTATTAAAAGCTGAGCGGAGTTTTTCAGTTGACTAGAGTGACATGCCGCACTGCGGCATTTGGCTTTGGGTAGTTCCCAACAAAGCTAGCGATCCTAGGTCTTCACATTGTAAAGAGGCTTGCAAACTCTTTTTTTAAAATCAGGTACTTGTCATATCGCACTTCTCTCCTTTAGGGGCCAAGGATTGGGGATGGAGCTTCGATCTGGTTATGTGCATTGGCGCCAGACTCATGTGCTGTGGAAAATCGGCCGCTCAAAAATTAAAGCTGAAATAACGATGCACATTAGGAGTCAAAGAAATCCCACCCGGCATCTCTTCACCAAAGGTTGCCCAGCATCGCTTGATAAAAAGAACATCTAAATCTCAATGAGCTGTCACTGATGACCAAGCGTGAAACTAGCTCTGAAACATACGGCCAATTAAAATTCTCAGAGTCTGTGTGGAGAAAAGAAGTCAAGTGAACGTTAGGCAAGAATCATTGTCTTCTAGAAAATAGTGAGGGAACGATTCCAAGTGACTGGGCACTACTGAGGAGACACTTGAAGTATTTAGAAGGGATATCTCATGCCTGGACTGATTCTTCTACTTGTATTTCTGTCTTCCTTTAAATGAAGCATTTGAAACAAATGGCATTGGAAGTCTTTGTAGACAAAGAAAATAAGCATGTGCTCTCTGGATATTACCAGCTAGAGAGAGAGAAAACTCCATTTTGCAGCGTTTTGCATTAGTCTAGCACAGGGGTGGGCAAAATGTGGCCCGAGGGCCGGATGCAGCCCGTCAGGCCATTCTATCAGGCTCACGGGGCCCCTTAAATATTTAGAAAATTAATATGCATCTGCCCCTGGCTGCCTGTCATGCGGCCCTCGATGGCTTGCCAAAACTCAGCAAGCAGCCCTCTGCCCGAAATAACTGCCCACCCCTGGTCTAGTGCATAAGATGCAAGTACCCAAAATCTAATACTTGGTGCATTTATTTCACTTTTAATCTCCAAGTATATTTACAAGGATGTCTAACTATTATTAGCTCCCATTTGCAACAGGGTTAATGACACCCTGAGGCTAGATTCTTCTCTCTGAGACAGAAGTGCAAACAAAGTAAAATAAGAGGTCAGCATAGTAACACCAATGTAACCAAAAGCAAAATCTGAAAGTGAGAGGTAAGAACAAGTGCCTCATTGGGTCTGAAGACAGGTTCATCTTGCCCAGTATCTCACAGTGGCAGAGTAGATGCTAAGAGAAAAAGTATTTATGCAGGAATTGTCCAGACTGATCTGTGCCCTGCTTTCCCTCTTCTCTTACAACTTCCCACTTGCAGAATCCTGGAAAGGCCCAAGTTGTAGACACTGTAGACATGATTTGCCTACGAGTCTGACAATCAACTCCTGCCTTCGCTTGTGCTTGTCAGCTTCCATAAACTGTGATATAAAAGTAGTGTTTGGGACCAGATTCCATTTTAACCTGATAGGTGCATAAATTCACTTTGGGGCGTGTGAACTAGCTCAAGTCCTTAGATAACTAGTACTGCAAAAGGTGGGTGGGTCTTCCTCCTGCTTGCTGGTTTCTTGTGACTCAGTCTTAAGGGTAAGATGACTGTGCTTAACAAAAGCAGATGCATTAATGAATATTCAGGGACATGAGCAGGGTGGAATAGAATTACACTCAGGTGCCCACTGGGTGGACTAGGAGCTGGTCCTTGATGTTCAGTTATTCTGCTAATATGGACATATCCAACATTTTTATCACTTGCCCAGCTGTAATAGAAAACATGAAAGAAAAATGTTTGATTATGCAAAAAACATACTTCATATCCTTCTGCATGAAAATGTTAATAATTGTGTGCGCACAATGTAGAATTTATACCATTGTACCATTTATGGGATTTCTGTGGCTCCATTGGAAGATACTATCTAGGTAAAATTTTAGGGCATTCTTACGCTTATTTAAAAAAATTCGGGATGCGATTCAAAGCTAAACTGCTCACAGATTGCAACAGTCCTTTGGGGAGACTTGGAACCCACCTTTATAACTCATGCTCTTTTCTAGTAGATTCACTAGTTTAATAGAAGTGTGCTTAGAATCTTGCTACCTAGCACAGAAATAAAGATCTTAAGGTGAGCACAGCTAACTGCTTTGGAGAAAGTTACTGGCACTTGCGACTACACCATATTCCAGCCATTGAAGAATTCCATCCTTCAGGCATCAATGAATAAAAGGTACCACTGGGAATTTATTGGAGTTGTCTCGTGCAACCCTCCTCCCCTACAAATTCTACTGTCCATATAAAACAGGGCCTGTTTGGCCCAGCAGTGTTCACAGGGCTAAGAATCAATTTGTATGGTGGCCAGGTTGAATTGCAGTTTAAAACAAAAGGATCCAATTCTCCCAACTCTTACACCAGTGTCAAAGAGGGAATTCATCTAAACAGAAGTGAAGAATCAGCTATTCAGCTCAGATCCTCAGTTCCTACTTACAATTTCTCTTGCTTATAATCAGGGATCCTGGATTTCTGTTTAAAAAAATGCAAATTCTCTGATTAAAAAACCCTAAATCTGCGTTTTTCCATGATTAAAATGTAAAGCCACTATATATATATCTCAGCTGAACATGTTTTATCAATATATTTACAATTTTAAAGCAATTTGGAAGCCTACCAGTTCCTCAATCCAAAATAAAATACATTGTAAGTATCTATAAATTCTGGCTTTTTATTTTGAGTTTATTATGGAAAATCAGAGCTCCCCCTTTGCTCACCAGGACATGGGTCCAGCTGCAGCTGTTCCCCTTCCCCTCCACTGCTTTGTGGTGCTGGGCAGCCCTGATATGCCTGTGCCCTGCCCATGCCATTGCCCCTCACTCCCAACCCGCAGGTCCCTGGCCAGCCCTGCTGGCACCCCTCACTCCCAACCCACACACTCCTGGCCCTGCCAGTGCCCCTTACTCCCCACCTACAGCCCCCTGCCCTCCCCAGCCCTGCTGTAGGGGGCCCTCAGCTGCCAGGGCTACAGGGCCAGGGACTCAGGTCTGCAGCCCCCCACCCCCAGCAACTCCGGAGCCCCAGCTGTTGCTCACAGGAGGTGGCAGCTGCTGCAGCCGGAGTGCTGCCTGGCTCCCCCTCCCACACCGGCAGCATGGCTGAAGCAGGGCCCATGGGCCGAGGCAGATGCAGGGTGTGGCTGCAGGCTTGGGGCTCCCTGCCCTGCTGCCCTCCCCCTGGGGCCTCTGTTGGCAGGACCCAGCACAGGAAGGCACAGCAGGGCAGTGAGGCTGCCAGGAGCCCTGCATCACTATGGCAAGGCAGCAGGGAGCACAAATCTGCACTGCCATCCCTGCTGCTGGTGGGTGAGCAGGGGGCACCTCACCATGGTAGTGTGGGGCTCCCAACAGTAGCACTGAGCTTCCCCACCCCACTCTGCCCTACTGGGCTGGGTCCTACCTGCTGGGGGACGGCAACAGGATGGGGGGCCTCAAGCCTGCAGTGGGCAGCCCACATGCCCCCCAGGAGTGCATGCAGTAGTGGGGAACCAGCCCCACCCACGGCTGTCCTGTTCCCCGCCTGGCCCTGCGGCTGCACATTCCCACCCCAACCCCAGGCCCCATACACCGCCCTGACTGGGCTGCATCCCCAGCACCAGCCCTGCCCAACTCCCTCTCTCCCTCACTGTGAGGAAATCAATTCCCCCCCGCCGACTTACCTGTGGGGGGCTGCTCTTCTTCTGCCTGGCTGCCACATGCATGTGCACACATACACGTGGCACCCCCTGCCTGATCGCCCGTCTCCTGCTTGTCCTTTGAAATTCTGCCAGCCTGCAGGGGGAACCCACCATTTCCTGCATTTTTCTCGTTTAAGAGAGAAAATCCATGCTTCACCACATTTTTCCATGGTGAATGGAAAATCTGGATCCCTGCTTATAATTTGCTAGCACATCATTCTCTTAAGAACCACGTACTAGGAGGAACTACAGCCCCATAGCCTTTAGACCCTAGGGTGACACATAGGGCACATGCAGAGAAGTGGGAACATGCATTTCCTGGGGTACAAGGAGCAGCTGCACACCTTGTGCTGCTGCTGCTTGGCCCCTGGGAATGCCCATGCCATGTGAGCTCTGGCATGTGACAGGTTACCCCAGGTGGGGTAGGGGAGGCTGAGGCCAGCAACTTTGCTGGCCCCAGCAGTCTTACCTGGGGTCCTGAGGGCCTCTGGAAGCTGCATCTGTGGTGCTCCTGAAGCAGTAAGCCTGGCCACCAGCTGGAATGCAGCTCTGGCCAGCCAGGCTTTGGTTTTGGGCAGCATGTGCTGCTGCCACACGTGCCGTCCTGCCTTGTTTTGATGTGGGCTTTTTTTGACCCCAGGTCTCCTGAGGCGAAAAAAGCACCCCTGTTGTGGCAAAGAAGCATGGAGAATGCCTGCGTGTGTAGTGTCTGGAGGTCTGTGGCATCACATACTGCATATCCATGCTCATCTGGACACATCCGTAGTTTTTTCCAAAACATGGTGGTACAAATTGTAGAACAAGATTTTCACAACCCAGCAAGAGAGAGAAAGTAAAAAGTGGTCAACAGTTCTTTGTCCACAACTTTTCTAGAAAACAGAGGCAGATGAACAGACAGAGGCTCTGAAATTTGGGCCAGAAAACCTTTGGTTCTATCCTTTACATATTTGCTTTTTACAGTCTAAATAACCATTGTTTTCCCAAGGGATTTATGATAAATCTTTTGGCAAACAACACAATGACAATATCCTACAAATGTTACTTCCTTTAAATGGTAGAGCTTGGACCATCTTCGAATTGGCTTCATCTTTAATTGAATCCAACCATGTTCTAAATGTACTAAAGTGTTGTCCTATAGCTACTGGTAGATTTTTATAACATATTTGGTCCTATTGTTTATAAAGGCAAAAGCAAAATATGTTATAAGTATGTTGTAAGACAGTCAGAACACTAGTTAAGCACATCTTCCAGATGAGAAAAATATAGCATAGATAGGGTACACAGAGTTCACAAAGGGTTTTTTAGGGTCTGCCCACATTAATGTCTTTAGAATCAGTTTGTGACAAGCTCATCTGACCCAATTGCAAGACTCAGGGGTCTGGCATTACATTTGTTGTGCTTTGTGCGCTGTTAAAGTATGACAAAGCCAGCAGCCACACATTCAGACTTTTTGTCACACTACAAAAAAAAAAAAAAAAAAAAAAAATCCAGTCCCAAGATGATGGATCCCAACAAAAAAGTTGTAGTTTCAAACAGCAGCTGCTTTGTTGCACGGAGCTTTTGAATGACAAACCTAATGAGTGCAGGGTTCTCCAAACCCCAGTATCCCACAATGCTCTGCTCTTTCTTCCTTGTGCCTTCCAAGGGGGAGGGACAGGGAGAGCTGTTGGCTCCAATAACCTACCCAGGCAATGAGCTCTCGTGGAGCCATGCAAGGCCTGGTTTATTTGCCACAATGGTGAGGAGGCTGAAGGGGCTGGACAGGCAAGTAGAGACCTCCCAATCCACCTTTGCTGCCAGAGGGGGCTTCTGAGTGATCCTGTCATCCCTGGGGCTGCCTGTGGGTAGCAGCAGCCAGTGCCAATAGGGTGGTCCCTGCCTCACAAGGTTCCTACCATCCCAGGCTTACTCTAGCAGGCAGCTTGGGGGTAACTCCATCAGCTGTGGCCACAGCAGCGACAGCTGATGGGCAAGCCTGTGAGCGAGCCTGTCCTGCTACCGACAGGCTCCCCTGGAGATGGGGTGAGTTAAGAAGCAGCACTTCATTGCCCCTGGATGGAGAGCCTGCTTTTGTGCTGACTCTGTCTGCCACACTCCAACCAGGGGGCTATAAATTGAAGTCATACATGTTGTGCTACATTTCCATAGGATACAATTCCACAATACCTGCAGCATGTCAAAAATAATGTCTTCTTAAGCCCTCAATTGGGTCCATATAGTAGCTTTTTCCACAATGCAAATATATATACCGTATTTAACTGAATCCAAAATTACTTCAAATTTAAGACGACAGCCCAATTAGATTCTATATATGGAAAAAGATAAATTTGAGTTTCCATCTGCTTCGTGCATGAGAGGAAATGGAGCTGGAGCCGCATCTGACTGTAACAGGGCAGAGGCGGGGGCAGGCAGCTAGTCTGCCTCTGGCTCCAAACTGGACTCAGCACTGGAGTTAAGAGATACATCGGCCACCTGCCGCTCCTCCCCCTGTACTCAAATACAAGTGGCTTCCTCCCATGTTAAATAAGGGGGAGAGACCTCATCTTGAATTTGAGTAAATACAGTAATAGGGCAATGTACAGGATCAGAGCCAGGACCTGTGAATCTAAAAAGGCACACATCAATACTGTTCAGGATGAAGACCCAGTCCCACTAGCACAAAGTGGCAGCTGGACAAACTTCTATATAAGTTCAGGCCACAATATATTAGGGGGACTACTAATTTGGGTTACCCCTCCTTCCCGCCACCAAATTCTGTGCATCCACACTGCAGCCTAACCGTGCTTCTGCCAGTGGTTTCAGGGAACTCTGGACAGATGTCACCTCACAAAGGCACAGAAGTCCTGCAGGATGTGCATACAGAGCCTCAGAAAGAGATGAAATAACACTCTGGGAAGTCCTACTGTGTAGAGTCCAGGGAGGAAAGAGGTCCAGGTAAACTAGTTACTCGAGAATAGTTAAGTCCAATTAATAAAATAAAACAGGGGTATCACACTCATCCAGCCCAATGAGCTTCAGCCCTGTATGCTGCCTCCAGGACATGCCTGGATTGGGCCCCAGGCTCTCTGTGCATGTCAAAGCCAGTGTGCAGGGCTGCTCCAGTGCAGGCACTGCATGTAGCATATGCCCCATGCTACGTGCAGACCAAGCTCTTGAGTGGGGCTAGTGTGTGCTGCACACAGCACACAGGCCTAGACTGACTGTGTGCACTGCACATAATACACATGGTAGGCCCAGCGCACGCACTGTATGCAGTGCCCACATCAGATCAGCCCTGCATGCTGGCTCTGGTGTGGTCTAATCTGGGACTGGCCCCAGAGCCAGTGCATAGTGCCAGTTAAGTGTAGGCACTGCAAGCAACATGCATCCCAGACCAACCCTGAGCCATATACAGCACCTGCAGTGCTGGATCCAGCCCATGTGCCAAACTGGCTCTGCACACTTTGTGCAAGGTTGGTCCAAAATCCATGACGAGCTGGATCAGAGGGCTTCATGAGCTGGATCCACCCTGCAGGTTGTAGGACAACCTCGGAGTAAAACATTGGTGTTACAAGCCTGTTAAAGGAAGACAGTCATGTTTTAACCCAGGGTAATGAAAAGGAGAAACACTTAGCTGCCAGGGTTAGGAATGAGTATTCACTCTGACACAGGAACCCAAACCTGATAGTTAAATGTGGTCGGAGAACTTAAGCAGCATCAGTATGATGTTAATTTATAACTTTACCATCAGTATGAGGATAAATTATAACTTTACACTCTCTCCTTTAGAAGGGGGTAGTGCTTAGCTTTAGGCTCTATGTCCCAGGAACATACCAGAGAAGAAACTGAGTCATAATTCCTCCTTGCTATCACTTTGCTCTGAGGATGGAGGAAATTCAGCCCTTGCCACAGAACTGGTTCACCCATGTGTGCCCAAGTAGTGAGTGGAATAGCTCCATATGCCTTCCCCTCTGAAGGTCATATCACACCATAAACTACTGTTCTTCTCAGTCACAACCTGGGAAGATTAAAGCCGAGAGGCTGAATAATGGCTGTGATGGTTTTGGTACCCATACTTGCTACTCTAGTTGACATTCACTAAACCAGGCAAAGTATTGTGAATCTTCTTTCTGGAGTCGCTACATCTGAAGATTTGTAGTTCCTCAGTATGCTTGTTTTTTGGTTGGGGGTTTTTCTCCCTAAGCAGAAAGTTTAATTAGAACATAGTGCAACATTTACTGCTGTTCAGACCACAGCCAAAAAAAATAAAAGCATATTTACATGGTGAGAAAGTTCACAAAGGCACAGATGCCTTTGTTCATAGCATGAGCTGTACAAAGTTGTTCACTCCCAAAGCTTTGACTCTATGGCCATCTTTTTCTTGTGAGAAATTTCTGTTCCCCATCCCCTTTTGCTCATTGACCTTGCTATTAGATGGAAAAGCTAGTTGGGCACAGCTTGAAAAAACAAAAGTTATGCACAATTTTGATGTGAAAAGACCTCTCTCTCCACAGCATCCTATTTTGCTCATTCCCTAAACACCCCGGGTTGCTAGAGATGTGCACACAACATGCTTCTATCTAATGATGTGCCTAGGATGGAGGCAGCCACCAATGCTGCTCCCAGCCCCAACCTCTATAAAGCTGCAGTTCGAATACCAGCTGGAAAAAAGGTGTAAGACACTCTATTGACCCAAGTCAGCAACCTGCAACACCGGCAACAGTGAAAGCTAAAGGGTGCATTGAACTTTACCCAACATCAAGGTCCTCCTCCTCCCTTCTCCACAGAAAAGGGTTTCTAAGAAAATGTTCCAAGTAGAAACTGTAATTGTTCTGCTGCATGCACATACAAAGGCAGCTTCCATGTGTACAAAATATCCTTGATGTGCCTGTAAAAAAAATTGAGAATTAGGTTCAGCTTTGTACTCCTTGAATAAGCACAACATTGCCATTTATCTGTCTGCTAGTGTTAATTTTGAAGAATAAGCACCTCAAGCCTGTACCATACTGTCCCTGGAACAGTTGTCAAGACTAACGTAATGATTTCTTCAACTCGGAAGCAGTTCCTACATTTTGACTTCTAATCGCATACCTTTTAGAACTGCATTTCTCCAGAGCATATTTGTTCAGGGCAAGGGAGAAACAAATGGGCTCCTAACAGAATAAAGATCCCATCACGCAACTGCTTATTGTATTCCAAGTCAATCCACGTTGCTGCCTTTCCTGTTTTCACACAGCCAGCTCCAGCTCTCCTCTGTGGTTTGATGGAAAATCCTCCTGGAGAAATCAAAATGAAGATTTCTCAAGCTGTGCCGAATTAACATGCCAGCACTATGGAAGCTAGATCCCTAGGTGTGGACACAACTCTGTAGGCAGTTTTTCTGTGGCCAAAGCTACACTACTTCCTCAAATAACTTGTTGCCTGGTTGAAATTGCTCTCAGGTGACAGAATTGCTTGCATCCACTCCAGGACTTTAGCAGGCAGAGCTATGTCAGCTGTTGGGTGCAATAGGGATGTATTTGGTAGCTGTGTTGGTCCAAAAGCTTGCAAAGAAAGATCATTTTTCAGTTGGTTTCATAAAAGGTATCGTCTCTGAACAGTTCTAGTTTTGCGTAGCTCTGTTGCACTTTTGTAGACAACTAAAGCTGCTGTGATGTGTTCCTGACTACTTTTAGTCTACACTAGTGTTGCTAGCAGCACTAGCATCTTTCCAGGAAATGTCAAGTGCCTCTATACCCAATGCTCTTCTGCAGTAACACAAGCCTCCTTTCTGCTGGCAGTTACTGGCATACTGCTTCAACCGGGCAGCATAAGATTTCTGCTTTCCAGCAGCTGGCAGGGCTGCGTACAAGCACTCCTGTGACTCCAGCTGGCTGCCCTGGCCAATCAGCAGCGGGTGCTTTCCCAGAAGGCACTTCACACCATCAGCACAGCTGCTGGGTGGAACCATTAGAAGCATGTTTCTAAGAACAGAGGCAGGTCAGGGGAAGCAACGTTTAAAGCCCAGGTCAAAGTCCAGTGAACTCAAAGATGAGTCCCAACAGGAAACTGCGTCTTTAATAATTGTTGCCCTTTTCCCGTTTTGTTTTTTTTTAAATCTTTGCAGAAGCAGCAGAATAGTAACTCTTTCATAAGTAGACAGTGCAAAAACAAGCTGCTAGTCACTGTTGCTGAATCTAATGGTTAGCTAGGGTAACCCCTACATGCTGATCCTTGTTATGTCAAAGGTACATGACCATATATGAAATCTTGATCCACAGGGACTGGGGCCCAAGATATAGGTTAGCTTCTTACAAACTCTGCTCTGGGTGACATCCCAATTACATGGTCTTAAAACCCCCCCTGACAAAACGGAGTGAACCAAATCCCCTGGAATCTTCAGCCTGAAAGGGAACCTTGCAGAGAACTGGAGATACCTTCAGTGCTTCCCAGTTTTCTTGGAACAAATGGGATCTGCAGGGAAAATAACGTCCGAGGCTATGTGCAGGCAGGAAACGGGAGCAGGCCTTCACAGAAATGGAGGGGAGGGGCAGGGGGCAGAATCATGGAAGTTATTGCAGCAGCCTGGAACAAGTGATATGCATGTACAAGTCTCTTCTCCATCACCCAACCATTCCCCTGCATTAAGGGTAACTACTCCAACTCAAACTGAAATGATTTAGTAAAGTCTGCCAGAAGGGGCTCTTGCTTGAGTGATGCTCTCAGGGTAGGGCTGTTTCTTAAGGATCTTAGCTACAGCCCAGCTCAATTTTTGGTGCTCACTTAAAAAGTTTGCTCGAAAGATAATGGTTAAAAACAAGTTGCAATAGCATCCAGCTGGTATTCTCCAAGATTCTTCACATTTCATAAAAAGTTTTCTTTGAATTAATGTCCTTGAACTATTAAATACAAAACAAACAAGCCAGCAGAATGCGTGGAAAGAAGGTAAAGGATCCAACTACTTCCTTACCACCATGCATTTCATCACCGGCCACTTACCACTCTCAATTTACTTTTTCCTCAACAACAATGTACGTAATGTTGTAATTAATGCGTGTTTAACAAGTCTGATTTTCAGAGGTACTGGGGTTCTGCAGTTCCCCTAGACATCAGTAGATCTTGAGGGTATTTGAGTTTTCTAGATCAAATCATATATGTATAACATGTCTCAAAGGATACCCACAGCTGGTGTCTCAGTGTAGCATGCTGGCAGAATTGAAGTTGTAGCAAAAGGCTGACTGACTTGTTGGATGTGCAATGCTTTGATTACAGTGATAACATTTAGTACGCCTACACTCCATACAAGTTTGCATATCACATAGGAGCCACAATTCCCTTTGTAAAAGTGTGCATGTTGAAACCCATGACCGCTCTTGCAACTGGACGCAGCAAGCAATGGAAGTCTGCCATCAGTGTAATCCTAGTCACAGAACTGGAGCTTTGCTGTGAGCATACTAGGAAAAATGAATCAACCTGAAAAGGAAATGGAATTTTTTTTCTGCATTCAATTACTGAAACTTTCTTACATACATCTCCCTGCAAACCATAGGGGTCAAGTAGCAATGAAAATTTACCTGACATAAAATTATATATTTTAGGGTCCCCTAACAGCTCATTTTTTAACTGAGTCACACCTTTGCTTTAATATTACTAAAAGAGCATAGAGAATATGGTAACTGAATTTTAATGGCTACTTTGACTGTTCCTTTGAAGTAGTTTGCTTAGTTGTGGTGCTGTTTTCTGTATATCGTCTTAATAGAACTGGGCAATACTACATGGCTGAAACAACCCTATCAGTTTGCTCTTCATTAGATCACCTAAGCTAAAAAAAGATCACACTAAATCAGCATGACTAGATCTCCAAGGAACATGAAAGCTCTCTAAGTGGGTTAAGTCTTTGGCACACCTCCTTCTGCTCCAATTTTTTCAACATGGAAGATACACTAGCCACTCTTTCTGGGAGCAAATGTGCTGTGCTGTCAGCGCTAATTTCATGGTTGGAAGTTACATTCTACTTGCATTAGATCTTCTTAGATTTCTTGTAGGCATCATACCATAACGAACTACCACGTGTGTTTCTCATGGTCTACAAGATAAAGCTGGAATCTTTTCCTTAAGCCCACCAAGCCACAGCTCAAGATCTAAAACAGAGGATCCCAGTTTTATCCCCACTACTGTCATCAAGTTCTATGTAGTGAAACAAACAGCAGCAGTCGACACCAAGTTCTGGGATTCCAGACTTGCAGTAACCTGCACTCCCTTTCCTGTTACATAGCTGCTACTGAATTGTTGCCAGATTTCCAGGAGAGAAACATGTTCATGCTACATGAAGATTCCAGAGCTTCACCACTGAAGGATTCTTGAGCTGAAAAAACAACAGGTTGTTAGTTCAATTCCAGTGCTTGCCAGAGCATTTGAAAACAAACCGTGTTTGAGCCCAAAATGTTTTCATATTTCCAGTGCAATTACAAGCCTCAGAAGTCTTTCTGCAGAATGTATTTTCCTCAAAATGTTAAATTTTGGATACGAATTTTAGGGAATTCCCTTCAACTTAACATGATACCATGTGGAAGTCTACCCTCTACCCCCCCCCAAAAAATTCTTCCTTTCTTCCTCTCCTCACCCCCACTACAAACAAGCTGGGAAAGTAGAACAAATGGGAAGACAGAAGAAAGGGGAAGACAGGCAAAGCAACCTGTTAGAACAGAGAGAACCCTCTTATTTCAGGCTCAAGAGGCTGGGAGGCAGTAACAAAATGAACAATTTGTACTCATTTACTTCTGTTCTTCTCCCCTGTAGTACCACTAGTTCTTGTTTTTCATATCTGTAAAGAGGATTTGAAAAATGAAAGAATGGAAAACAAAGTTTTGCATTTCCCCAAGCTGAGCAACACTGTAATTCAACTCCTCCTTTTGTTATTGAAATTCCCTTCTGCCCCACTCACCAAACTTTTTATAAAGTAAAAATTGTTAAGGGTTTTCACACGTAGAATTGTGAAAGCTTAATTCTTGGTTCAGAAGGCTGAAGTATTAGAAAGAGACAGGAAGGCACTTTTTGACAATACCAAAACAAACAAATGAACAAACAAAATAACCTCGCCCTCCTAAACAGTAGTAAATAGAAAACAGTCTATTTTTCTAAGGCTTTAAATTAAAATTAAGCTTTTTATAACATTTTAACCCTGATGTTGCACATGAAGAAAAAAAAAAGTTATGGTTATTTGGAAAAATGTTTGCCATATTTCACTGTTAACTTCCATCCTGTCATCAGATCAGGTCCTCCACAAGTTCAGAACACAACTGTGTAAATGGCAGATTTACAATTCAAGCAGGAATCCCAGCTTTGAATATTCAGATTTCTGGGCATATGACATCTCATCTGTAGACACTAGGTATTTCTTATGCCATGTTACAGTGGGTGGGAGTCTGTAAGACTTGCCTGCAAGGCCTGAGTTGGTTGCATCATAACTCTGAGAAAGAAGCTAACAGGAAATGAGGTTCTCATTTTTAGAGTTGCAGTCCTATATTTGAAATATCTTCAGAACCTGGTTAAGCAATTTTCTGCTTACACTTTCATTTTAATCAAACTGAAAAGAAAGCAAATGATTACGTACATCTCAATGACTTGCTTTACTTACTTTCCATGACAGCTTTACTCACTTACACACACACACACACACACACACTCTTTATTCATACAACATTCTTTCCAGAAACTCATTTTATTCCCTAGAGCACTTCTCAGCTACTTATCTCAAATAGCCAGTGCTTTCATTTGACAAAAATAGCAATAGCCTAAAACATTATACAGCATAAGGAGTTTCCGTAATCTAATGACTTTATAAAGACAAGTGTAGCAAGTCTAGGTTCAGCAGCTAAGGGACAAAAGAATGAATTAACTGGGAAAAAAATGTTGAAATACACTCAAACAATTCATCTACTTATCTTGAGAAGTGCCACAAGCTCTATTTTCAATAACCACTTGAAGCATTTTACCATGGTATCTAAAAGCACAGTACATTCACCACTGCTGCATCATCTCCTGCAGCATTGCAGAAGCTGCTTATGAGTTTGTTGCTTAACTTGGAACTATGACCTCCTGGATCAGGGATAAGACTGAATGGTATTGTTACTTTCACTATGGTAACACTTCATGAATGTTCAGTGTGAGAGATGCAAATAAAATCTCTGGATACCATTTGGTGTCAGAACTTCTGGTAAATCGTGGTGCATGAATAGGAGATATCTGTATGCTGCAGTCCAGCACTAACAAAGTACCAAAACAATCAGTATAAGAGATGCGTTGCATAGACTTCAGTGCACTACATAATCTTGCACCACTTAAGCCAACTTGACTTCAAGAACTGCCTTCTCCCTTCTTTTTTTAAACTGGACTTCCTTGGAAACTCAAAACATTGCACAAGAACAGCAGCCTTCAGGGCAAGAAAACCTGTTTTCTTAAAGGAAAACAAACACTAAAATGAGTTATTAAGAAGTTAATTGCATATTAAAGGCCAAATGCTCTTCTCTCCCCCCATCAGAAGTACTGTGAATGTACAAAAACAAAAAAAGCTTCTAGCACATCATGGAGTGAGCCGTTTCTCAAGTCTGTACAGTAGTCTGTGTTGATCCAGAAGTCTGTCCTAGATGCACCCCTTTTGATTTATGGTTTGCTACAGTTTTTCACAAGACAATACAGTGAGGAATCTATTTTTCATGGAAGGAAAATAATACCTCTTCATAGAAGTACACTGTCACCATACTTACCATATTTATTTAGCAAGATGATGTTTCAACTCCCTGAGGTTTAAGGACAGATTAATTTTTAAACTCTTAAATAGGTAAGTGCTTTGGGGGACACAGAAGTTATCCCAAAATACTGTGCCATCTTTAAAAAGCAAAAGCCCTCATTTCTCATTCTTAGCAGTAGTCAAATTATTCTAGTAGACATCCACCAAGAAGCCGGAGGGTTTTGGGGGAGGGAGGGAGGCAAGAACACAGATTTGGTAACACTGCTGCTCTCTGTAACATACCTATTGCTCTCTGCATGCATCTGAAAAACCTTTAGTGTAATTACATGTTATTCTCTTCAGTAACAAATTTGGTGGCATTTTATTTGACTCCAGCTAAAGAATAAGACTGTAAATGCAACTCTCCCAGACATTTTTATGGATGAATGAAGAAGAGGTGGTTCAGAATTCTGGGCCTGGACATCTTCAACCTTAACAAGAAAAGCAAGAAAGCTGCATTTCATTTCCTCAGCATCAGGAGACCCTGAAAGACAGTGCAAAGTTTAAGTTAACTGCATTGTATAGCAATGTAACAAAGAATTCAGCATTTGGTTTGGGCTCCTACCATATCCCACAGCTTAAGTCTTCTTGGTATCAGTTAGTATTTCTAATTTTGACCAGAAGCATCTACACCAACATGGACTAGCCAAAGGTTTCCATTCCTAAAAAAAATCCTTTGGCATCACATCACACAGCTTGTCATGCCATACCAATACAGATCTGTGAACACAACAGACTTGCAGGGGCCTATAAAACTATCTCTACTTCAAAATGCTAGTACTTCCTTGCAGCAAGAAAGTGCTTTATTTTACGGGCGTCACTTGCAGTCAGGGTGACTTGTCTGGTGGTACCAGAAGCAAAAATGAGGGCAGGATCTCAAATAAGTATCTTTCCTTCTGAGGATGAGACTTGGTTACATGATATCACAGTCTCAGCTGTATTTAGGAGCCCTTCAAGGCATGCACCCTTCCTATAGAGCATGAAGAGCTGGGAACAGGTAACTCCCTTCCACTACAAGCAGTCCTTGGACTTAAGACATGGTTTTCAGGCACCAAATGTGTTGTAAGTCAAAACATGGTAATTCAGAACTGATTTTCCCATAGGAAACAATGTTTTAAATGGGGCATTGGTTTCTGAACCAAGGCCCAATGCCCTAGTTTCACCAAAAATAACCCAGAATTCTGTAATCAATCAATTATAAATGAGTAATACAGCTACATGAACGTACAGGTGACCCTCGCCATTCACGGGGGATATGTTCTCGTATCCCTGCGAATGGCAAAATCCATGAATAAGGCAGTGTTCATGAACGCTGTCTGCATTCATGAACTCAGTACCCCCAGCGGCTGGGGGTGGGCACGGCTGTTCTGGTGACAGCAGGAGCATGGCAGCAGCAGTGGGAAGCGCGGCACTCCAAAGGAGCTCCTTTAAGTGTATTTAAGAAGTGGGTTTGGCATTTGAGAATATTTGAAACCACGAATGCCAAACCCGCGAATAGTGAGGGTTTCCTGTATATATATTGTAAACAGCAATCACATTGATCTGGAAGGACTTCTTTGAGGTGACTTTGCCGGACTTTTTGAGGGGTTCTTGGCTGGAGTCTTCTCAGGAGTCTTGGCTGCAGGCTTAAAGAAAGTGTCCAAGGAAGTTTGGACAGATGTTCTCTGGTGAGATGTGCGACGTGGCAAACTTGTTTGCTGGCGTGGTGTGCGATCAAGTGTTGTAAAGTTGAAACTGATGTCAGAAAGTTGAAACAGTGCATCACTTATGTTTAGAACCGTGGTAAGCGTGAAACACTAACTCGAAACGTTGTAAATTGAGGACTACCTGTACTGTGAAAATTTCCTTTGCTGACTGAAGACCTCCCCTTCAAAACCTGCAGTCGGTCAAACACTAAGGGTATATATTCACAAGCGCGGAGGCTGCTCCGACGCGCTGGAATTCCAGCGCGTTGGAGCAGACTCAATTAACCACAGGTTATTTTTGAGTTTCTCTTCAGTAACAACTGTGGCGGCATTTTATTTGACTCCAGCTAAAAATAAGATTGTAAACGCAACTCTCCCAGACATTTTTATGAAGGAATGAGGAAGAGACGTGGATTAACGAGGATGAATCGAGTCTGCTGGAGTGTGCCAATTGCCGGAGGCTGGGGGGCCACGGTGAGCTCCCGCAGATGTCCGTGGTGGGAAACAGGGAGCTCCCATGGGGAGCTCCCACAGGCAGCCGTGGCACTGTCAGCAGTGATGGTGAGCGCTGACTAGTGGTCAGTGACCCAGTGGCGACTGTCAACAGGTGTCACCAGCAGTCTGGGCGGCGCCCTGCCACACACAGGTGGTGCATGTGCACCTGCGTGCACCCCTCCGCGTTGCCAATGGCAACTGCCGTGCTCCAGTGGCCTCACCTATCAGCATCCCCACACTCAAAAACGGCAGCGGGGGGTGCTCGAACTAAATCCCGTTGAACCAGCTTTAGCTCACACACCCCTGCCGCCGTTTTTAAGCACGGAGACGCAGCGGCACTTCAATCAGAGCGGCTCTAATTAAAGCTCTGCCCCGCTCTCCCCTTGCAGCACGCGTCAAAGCGGCCGATGAGGAAAGCCAGATACCCCCCTACCTCCGTTTCCGAAAGCAAGCCGCAGGATCAGACCCAGCAGTCCTCCTCAACTGTGCGAGACCCCTGGAAAAACACCGGCTCTTGGTTTTTGCTTCTTTTTTTTTTTCCACTGCCACAAAAAAACTCAACACAGAGCCATTCTTCAGCTGCAAAAAAACCCCTCAGCAACGAGGTGGGGTTACTCACCTGGCGCGGCGCCTCTGAACCCCTCTCCAGGCACCCGGGGGATGCCGGCGTCGCAGCGACTGCCCCAGGGCTTGGGCCACCTGCTCTGCTGCCAACCCCACCAGGCTGGGGTGCTCCCCTCCCCCACGGGACTACCCCCGCGCCTTCCCGTCGGCCCCCACGCGGGGCTCAAGGGCAAAGGGTGACTCGGCCGCGCCCCATCTCTAAATCACCGAGCGCGCTGCGCTCTCTTGGCCCCCATCCCGTCCCCCGACCGTTAGTTACGCCCGCCCGCCCCTGCGCAGACATTTTAACCCGGCTGCCTCGGCCGCTGCTCCGGGCTAACGCCGACCCACACCATCAACATGGCGGCTGTTGGCTCCTGCTCCCCCGCTTTCCCCACCAGCGGCCTCTGCGCTTGCGCGGCGCACAGCCCATCGGAAGAAGTAGTCCCGGCTCTACAGCGCGGCTCGGCGAGAGGCGGGGAGAG